GAAATTCCACAACCGAAGTGAAGGAAATCGAAATATACGAGACTTCCTTATAAATGCTGTTCAAGTAACGCTATCAACACCTCTGAAAAACTTTAAATGAGTTTCTGTTTTAATTCTAATTTTATTATGTGCCATTTTGATATTGGCAGAATTATATTTGTTTTTGTGTGAATTAATAAATGTGTGGATTTCAGAATTAGATATTTAGAATTAAGAAAATTAAATAGTAGCTTTTTTAAATAAATATCTACCAATAAAGTTATTTCAAAACAATACAAATACTCATAACACTGGCTAGAATTAATCTATCATATATATCACATGTGAAATTTACATGAAATCTATATTACTGAAATTTACGTGAAATTATGTTCAACCCTAGATAGAATTAATTCGTAACTCTGGTAAGTATAATTGTTTGTAACTCTGGTAGAATTAATTTGGTAGATTAACCCTGCATCAAAGACTTCTGCGATTCTATGGGTTTAAAAGCTAATTGTTAAATGATATTGTTTGGGTTTATAAATTGTAAAGGCAATCTTTTTAGGGTATTTTAATATTGTCTTTATTGTCTTTGCTTGTTTTATATTTTTACCACTAAAGAACAAATAGAAATAAAGCAGTATATAGAAAACCTATAATAAGCCTATAATAAAAATATGTAATGCTAATTCTGGATTCGAATGGATTGAAATAATTGCAAGAATAATAATATAGACAGAAAGAAAAACTATAAAACTAAGATTTACTAAGTTGTAATTTCTAATCTTTTTTTTCTTATCTTTCATAACCTTTATATAGTGCAATGTTTGATTACCAAATGAACCATTTAGCATCTTGTCACCAATTTCTATAGTTTGAATATCCTCTTTCTTGTTGATTTTATTTAAAATACATTTTCCAATGGATAATATTAGAGATATAATTGTACTACTGATGGATAATATTAATGATATAATTCCATTTAGGCTCATGAATCCTGATGTTGCGATAGATTCACCTTTTCAATTATTTTTTCCTTTCCCCACCATAATGTTGCACTGATAATAATAGCAAAGATTGCCTCGAATAGACTTATTACAAATAATTTATATCCTTCGGATAAACGTTCTAAAGTTCTTCTTTATTGATGTTCCAACTCTGATATATTACTCCTTTTTCTCTGAAGATTTTGAAGGTAAAATTCACAGACATCTTGAAAGTGTCTATTATTCATGCCATTGGGATTGATTGGAGTGTCACATAACGAATTCTTCTTATTAACAAACAGAAAACAAAATATTAACAATGATATTTTTCATTTATAATTTTGCATCACATCTAAAAACATTATTCCTCCTTAATAGGAATATTAAAATAAATTTGATTTGATTTCTAATCATCTTATAATTTAAAGAAGTGTAGTTTTTAGCAAAGAATAGGGAGCGAGTGCAGGGACAGAAATTATTCGATTTAAAAAGTCCAATTTGAACTGCACTTTGGTACAAAAAGATAATTTCAGATGATGTTAACTTAAGGGACTATATACATATCTATATTGTTATCGATTTGATTTCTAATCATTCTATGATTTAAAGGAGTGTAGTTTTTAGCAAGGAATAGAGAGCAAGTGCAGGGACAGAAATTATTCGATTTAAAAAATCCAATTTGAACTACACTTTGGCACAAAGGGATAATTTTAGGCGATGTTAACTTAAGAGACTATATACATATTTATATTGTTTTAAACTCTGATCAATTAATAATATTTTATCCATTGTTTCTAAAATTTAAATTTCTTTGTGTTACTAGTATACTTGAAAAAATGTTTATATATTTAAAATTTTTGAAATACAATAAATTTTAGGAATAATATATTTTCTTGAGAACTTTTACTGTTAGCACTAATACTCGACCCTCTCCTAAAATCTTTTCTTCTATTTATTTTTATTAAAAAAATTTTTAACAAACCCTATCATGGTGACTATTCTACTTTACTTTCAAAATATTCAAGAAAAAAAGCATAATATATTAAAGTTGAAAAAAGAATGTACGAAAGCTTTTGAACATTTACTTGAAGCAAATTTTATTATGATTATTGGAGCAGTATTATTGTGGGGAGATAAAAAAAAATTAATCAGAAAAGTTAGATTTATCACAACATCAGGTTTTATAGTTTTAAGTGGAATTATAATATTGATATTATCTATCTGAAAAAAGCTCATAAATGAAACTTCCAAGAAAGAAACTCAAACTGTGACAATTGATGATGAAAATTTAAATGATTTATCTGATTTAGAGTTGCTAAAAAAATTAACCAAAGAAATCAAATGGGTAGACTTGGTCAATTCAAATTTAATTATTTTTTTATCTGTCTATATCATTATTATTTCAATTATTTCAATTAAAATGAATCTTGATTATCATAATACTAACAATCAAATGTTTGCATTAAATGTATTTCTGGTTGGTTTATTATGGCTTTTCTATAATTCTGCTTTGCTTTATTTGTTTTTTAGTAACAAAAAATGCAAAGTAAGAACTATAAAAATTAGTTTTATAGTTTTTAGATTAAATAAATTATTAGTTTTAAATTTAGAGTTGTTTTTTTATTTTTTTATTAGCAATATACATATAATTATCTGACTACTCACAACAAATTAAAAAGCATGTATATGAAGATTTGAAATATTTGATTTTTTGATTGTT